GTTTAAATTTTTCTAAGCCTCCCAGAGTTTTCGCATTAGACGACTCAGAACCCAGCCGTCCCTTTTTCACAACTGCACGTCACTAGTCAAAAGTCGTTGAGGGGTCGTAGACGAAACCTAAGTTTTCGAAAAAAGACAAGCGAAAGAAGCCAGAAAAGGCAGACGGCAGGAAGTAAAACGAAGAAAGTAAAAAAAGAGTTGTACGCCGAGCGATGAGAGCCAAATAAAGGTGCCAACCACCCTGCACAGAGGCCTGAAGAGGTTTCTATTATTATTTTTTCATATATTTTAGATATTTACGCTCGGATTATTATTCCGTGGCACAGAAGAAGGTTTTCATGGGCATATTTGGACTCAATCAACGAATATGCGGCACGGGAGGATAAACCGATTTTTCTTAAACAGCCTCGGCACCCAACAAGCACAGACACGCGAGTGATCTTCTGCGGAATTCCGTGCAAGTTTCAAGCTTTGTTTCGAAGGAATTCGTTGAATAAATTAACGGTAAGTACAAACATATTGCTATTTAGTGCAACTTCGCAGTATTTAAGAAGGCGCACGACAGACGAGCCCCCCAGCCTGTGGGAAACTTGAATTCAGCTCCCCGCCTCTCGATACACCAGTGTGGCGGCATTTTGTTTCTGCTGAAAGCGAGGCAAGAATGACCATGTAAACACATTTTTAAGCTTGTTTTGTGAATTTGGAGACATAAAAAGCACGGATTTTCCGGACTTCTCCACTTGTTTAAGTTTCAGAACGGCGTCGCAGAGGTTCCTCTCCCTTCGCCATTCCCCGCATCCTCGCAGATGGCCTCTTTCCTCACATGACTACACATTCCCCGCCTTCTGCCGGTTCAATCCGTCAAAAATACAAGGCGGATGACGGCCCCTACTCGGTTGCCCCTAGATCTTGTGGAACTGGCTTCTCCGTGGACTCCCACGGCGGCCCCCTCTGCGGAAGCTGTCCAGCATTTACTTGGTAGCCTTTCGGCTTCCGCAGTGCCCGCAGCTGAGGCGTATGGAGATGCCCCAAGGGCACCGTACACGTCTTTCTGGCGCATTCCTTCCACGGGGTCCGCCACCTCCCGCAGCAGCAGTCGCTTGCTCCTTGTCGCTGGAGCCCTTGCCTCGATACTAGCTGTTGCCTTCTTGCTTCTGCGGTGTTTCGCGCTACTGCGTGCGGAGTCCTATTTGAGGCTTTCTGGGTCTCCGTCTTTTCGGATACTGGCGGAAGAGGACGATGTGTTTGCATGCACGGGCAGTTCGGGGGGTTCCAGCCCAGGCGAGTCAAGGAGGAGTGCAGGACGACAGGCGTCGGGGGGCTTTGGCTTTCCTTCAAGGTTGTCGCCCAAAGTAAGAAAACAAATGAGTGCGTTGACTTTGAAGAAACACGAGGCAAAAGATTTGCTAGAGGAGGAGTTGTTGGAGGTGGCCTCTGCGCTCGGGCAGATGCAGTCGCTGGTCGCCAAACTTGAGTATCACAATGGACGCTTTACCGATCTGTCGACGCGGATTGTCACCATGAAGCTGGAGCAATCACAAAAAGAACAAAACTTCGAGGACGGCGACGAGGAGGATGAGGAGGACCTCAGCATTAAATTGGTCGCAGTGGAGGAGGAGTTGAAACTTGAGCAGAAAGAGCTGGAAACAGTCACCGAAAGCCTCCGAACGGTTGAGTTTCGGGAGTGGCAGGGTGTAGCGTCTTTGTACATAAGGGGCGAAGCGTTTGTTGCTAGCGGCCGCTACATATCAGCGCCAGTTGCTATGGCGCTGGTGGCGCGGTCAGTTGTCTTAGGATCAGACGGGCACCTCCCCAAAGAGCTCTCGATCGGTAGTAGGGCGCGTGTGGGGATTATGGTGACGGAGCTGGTGCTGCAGGCGCGTGCCTGCCGTTCCGAACTGGAGAGGTTGCACAGTAGTTACTTGGGCGGGAGTCGCCGTGTGGCGACGCTAGCAGAAGTTGCAGCTCCTGCCGCCCGCAGCGGTCGCGGCTTCCTCAAGGACTTGCAGAGTACAGCTAGTCTCATGCAGAGTGCAGGCATCTGGGAACAAGTCAAAAGTATGGAGACTGAATCCGCGAATATGCGGTCGGCCCTGGAAGCGGTTGGGCTGTCATCCCCCAAAGGCTCGCCAAGTGCAACGAAGCGCACCTCGCGCACCAGCGTCTTTGACTTTAAAACCCCCTGGAGGACGTGGTGGCCGAGCTTCAAACGTTCTTCGGGACGGTCTCCTCCAGCGGACTTCCTCCTTACTGCAGGACAATCGAAAGAAGGGTCCCCTCCCTCAAGAACGACAGATGAACCACTCTCCTCCCTCTTTCAAAGCAAAGTTTCAATCACATCCTCCTCCCGCTCGGCCGACGATGCAATGCAGAGAGCGCCCCGCCTGTCAACGGCTTCTTACCTTGACGGAAAAAGAAAGGGCAAGTCGGGGATGCAACACGCGAGCTCCTTCCCCGAACTATTCTCGAATTTCTTCGGGTTTCCATCTGGTGGCGTGCCAGCACCAACAGGACCGCCACGCGCAGCAAGAACAAGCCGGGGCAGCGCCCCCCCCAGCCCCGAACCTTTTGACGAGGATTCAGAGGAGTCTTTTGACGCGGCTGTTGCACAGGCGGCGGATGAGTTTTGGCGTACTGGGAGGCTTCCGCAACAGCCCCTTTCCTCTGGCGGCTCTATTCTGAGTGGGGCCGACATGTTCGGACAAAGGGGGGTTAAGACCATGCAACGTTGGGCAAAGGATTCAGAGGCCGCACTTGGGGAGAGCGGCTTCGGCTACGCGGAGGTGCAGAGATTGAAATACCAAGTCACGGCGGGAAAGACAATCATGGCTGCCTGGAGTCCGGCTAGAGAAGCCTCAGCAACCGCTCGCCTCGAGAAGGAGCTTCTTGAAGAAGTCCGAGAGCAGCTAGGTGAATGCGAAACAATGATGGGGCGGCTGATTGAACGTTTAGTGGAGAGGGCCACATCAATTATCACTTCAGCCGAAGGACAGATAAAGGATGCTTTAAGAACATTGGAGCAAGCCATGGCAAGGTCCCACGTAAGCGCATTAAACCGCGTTTTATACGGTCGAGTGATTCTAGGCGTAGCTGAAGCCGTCAAGAAAGCACAGAAGACGCATGAAACGTACTCAAGACTGGCCGAAGAGGTGCCCGAGGTCTCCAAGAAGCTGAACCAAGCCCTCCTTGGCCTAGCCAAAAGCGCACTGGAAACTGCTTCGCGTGTCGACGTTGCCTCCCTTCAGGCGACAAGCTTCGCTTCTGGGGAGGCAGAGGAGGAGGAGCCAACAATATATCTAGGAAAAAGCTTCCGCACACTCTTGGGGGAAAAAGCACCGGGAGGGGCAGCAGCAACGGGAGCAGCAGGAACTTTCCCGCGCGTGTCTACCACACGAACCCAGCCGAGGAGGGCTGAATTAAGATATGCACCACCTTCGGTAGGTGGGTCACTCGCGGACCTTATTCTAGATCCCCCAGGGGAAGGTGGGGCAAGGCTCATGGCTTCTGCAGGAAGAAAGGCATCCAATGCGGCATCGCGCCTACATCCGCGATAATGGGCGGGGAGGAGGTTCATCTGGAAACAACACAACTGACAATATGTGCCTTTTGTTTTGTTACGCATCGGGGCAGCAGAAGCAGGAGCAGCAGTTGCTGCTGCACCTACTGCTGCAGTAGCTCAACAGGGCCTTCATTCTGCTGCGTGCTTCTGGCAGCAGAAAAGAAGAGCCCAGACATGATCAAATAGATTAATGGCTAAAATACCAAGAGATTTGTGACGGCAGCGCAAATTAGTTATTACGCATGAATGCGTGCGCCTCGGCAGCAGCGGCTTTTGCTGCAGCAGCGCCTGCAGCAGTAAACAACAACTTCCGCAGCTGCTGCCCGTGCAGATGTTGCAGCTGTAGTCGCAGCAGCAGATTTTGCAACCAATCTTGCTGTTGCTGCTGCTGCAGCGGCTGCAGCTGTAGCTATGCGGGGCCTTGACTGTGCGATGTGAGTCTCTGCAGTAGTTGCAGGGGCCCAGCGGATATACACAGGTTTTGTCTTTACCTCAGAAGCCCTTTCGCGCCGTCTCTCCTGTCTTCGGTGCCCCTAGTGTTGCCCAGAGTGCAGCAGCAGTTTTATGTGAATCGTTTTTTGGCGCGTCGTTCGCCTCTGCTGCACTCGTAGCTCACGCGTGTGCTGGCCGGGCCTGAGGCCCTTTTCAAAAAATTCATTTTCCCTCTATTTTTGGTGTTTTCAAATGGCAAACAAACAACGCAAATAAAAGATGCATATGAAGACAGACAAGCGCAGACAGACATAAAACAACAAAGAAGGAGCTATCACATCGATCGGCAAAATGCGCTACGCCGTCACCTACCTCCCATATTTATCATGCATCACTACATACATATAATCATATAGGCATATATAGGCATACATTTCCAAAGATGCTCGTCAGAGTTGCGAGCCACCTAGTCTGTTGCGGAAGTAGCTGCTCCTGCTATATTGCAAGGCGGCACTGCAGGAGATGCGGCAAACTGCTCCAGGCCAAGCCGCCGGCCGTTGTCTATCAAGACAGATTGCTAGAGGCCTCTGGAGGCTGCTACTACTGCTCTTCAAAGAGGCATCCGGAACAGCAGACTCCGACAACAGAACTCAGCAGACGCCTGTGGAGTCATTCATCTACGTGTAAGCGCTGTGGTCCAACACAGCGCAGAGGGGTGTATCACGCCGGGGCCTTTAAATCGTGCTACACCGAGCGGTAAGGGGTCTAGAGCAATGCCATTTTTATGCATTGTTGTCGTGACTGGAATAGAAAAGAGTGTCTGGCAGATGAGATTTCTGCCGAATCAAAAGAATAGTATTACTTGGAGACGTGACGTCTTTCAGGCAGGTCGATGCATGCGGAATCTCAACCACAGGCGCCTGCTATCTGTGTACTTGCGTTATTCCACTCAAGTATACCATGCTGTATATTATGCAGTAGAATAGTAATATATAATTTGCAGCTGGTCAGTGCACTGTTGTTGTGTGCGTGCTACTAGTCCGTCCTGCGCCGTTAGAAGGTGCAGCTGCCTGACAGACCAATGGGTAAAGGCTGCTGTAGGCCTTGTGGGGCCCCGCGTTGCGTCGTTATTTGAACTTCACTAGCGGCCTTTGGGGGGCACAGGATGCTAGCCTTATGGGTTCCCTTCGAATGCACGTGTACCGACACACTAGCACCAGAAACCATCCAAGCCCATCCCAGGAACAAGCTCAATCTATCGACTCCGTCTTGAGTTTTTCAGGAGCTCTTTGAACCGTTTGATGCAAAATCAGCCGTAACTGGTGCAGCGAAGAGGAACAAAGCATGGCCAGGCAGCCGTAGGACGGCGGCAGAGTGTTGGGTGGAATAAGCAGCTTTGCGGGCGAGACGAGCGATCTAAGGAGAACGAAAAATAAAAGAAGAGAGCTTCAAAATACGTGGAGTTCTTTTCTTAAATTGATTTCTTCAACTCTTTTGAAAGGCTTCACCAACTGCCGCCACTCACGCGACCTCGCACAGGGACCCCTGCGGCATACGCGCGGTGTTGGACCAGCACGAAGACCCTCAAGGCATTTGTGTGTGCAGATTTCCGGCTATTTCTGGACTTTTCTAGAGATGTACACTTTGTGACAACAAGACATGCCAGCTGGCCATTTCAACAGGTTCCAGTCAAGCAGTTGGTTGCGATGATGCGTTTCGCATGTTACATATCTTGACTTCGTAGGCCTTGATACGTGCGAAAACCATGGAGTTGCAGTGTCTTCACCTGGTGGGAATTTCGGTGTCGAGAGCCAATAGATGGCACGTACATTAGGTCAATAGGCTGCATACAGCACATATGAAAGCTGGGAGACTTCGCACATTCTTTTTCCGAGTTTCACTGCGTTGGGATTTCATCATGAGTAACCGCTTCCTGGGGTCGTGGGGATCTCCATATTAACATGCTCATATTACAATAAAGGGGAAATGCTTCAACACCTCCTGCAGAGACCAGGGGACTCAGGGGAGATTGATATTAGCACCTGCATGCAGACAGTTACGAAGAGAGATGCATCCGACACTCCAAGGCCAGAGAACGTGAGCGTGCAGCAGCGATATACCCAACTGGTTCGCCTTTCCTGATCCCTTCAACTCTGAGTTGGGAAGATCGGCCGAAACTGACTGCCGGGGCATCTGGGGCAGCCGCACTTCTTACTTGTTGCGCACTGCATCCTTTTGACCTGATCAAAACTCGCATGCAAGGTAATGCAGCAGCAAGAGAGGCAACAAATATCCTGTCGAATGTGCAAACAGCAATTGTCAAACGCCTGCGAACTGCTCACGATGACGACGGCAAAGGCCCTCGCCTGCCGAGAGGGGTTATTGGGCCATTTACGGCGTTAGTGGGGGTCCAGCTCTGCTCTGCCTGTTTAGGCTTTTGGCTTCACTGAAGTACGTGCTTTAGTGCATATATTTGCACGTAATAATGCCCTTTGCTAGCTATGCTTTTGCTTTCCTCTGCAGTTGCTGCCGTCAGTGGTGGAGCCATTCCGCGCTACGGTTCGACTCGTTCGGCAATAATTCGAATTTACAAACAAGAGGGCCTTAAGGGGCTCTGGAAAGGAGTGGGAGTAACAGCCGCAGCCTCTTCAACCTCATGGGCTTGTTTCAGATACGTGTACGTACTGTTGTTTCTGTAGTTGCTTTTCTGCTGTCACTTTGGTTTTTCCTGATTCTTCGAGGGGCGCTTAAGGGAAAAAACGCCACTCCCAGATCGTTCAATGTTTATATGTTATTACTGCCGAGCCTTGTCTAGATTCTCTACTTCTGATATACCTTTAGCATTGATGCTCTCGTTGCTTGCTCTTGTTGCTTGCAATGGAGATATATTTTCTCCATAGAAACGTCATGATGAGTGGTTTGTTTCCCAGATAAGTGAACTTATTCTTTGAAGTAGGCGTACGCTTTTGTTCATGTGCGCATGTAGTAGAATGCATAATATCCCGCTTTGCATGCGCTTTCCTGCAGATTCGATAGACTTGGTTCCAGTGTCCCCGGTTGGCGAGTATCTCTGTGCGGAACATCAAGTAAAACACATGGAGTGACGCAACGGACATCTTTCGACGATGTGGTGTGCGCACACTTCAGCGTACACCGTGGGAATCGTGTTCAGTCGTTAGCAGGCTCACTGCATTGCCATTTTTGTGTTTTCACGGACGTTCTTGTTTCAGAATGAAGCCACAAGAATAATTCACTTTAGTGTCCAGGATCTTGTCCATCCCTCGATTTCAGGAGGAGTTGTGCTCATACGCCTCATTGCTTCCGTCGTCTTTTGAGTTTCGCGTTTCAGGCCAGTGGCCTCGTCGCCGGCCTTCTCGTCACCTGCCTGACCCATCCATTATGGCTCGCCAAAGCGCGAATGGAAATGCAAGCAAAGGAAGCGGAGGTATGGAAAGGAGGCCACTGGATGTCGCCTGACTGTAGTAAAGTTCATTTGTTAGTTGCACGCAGTTCGAAGGCACAATTTTCTTGATGGACCTCTTGAAACGATACCGCCCCTAGAGTGGAGCAGTCGAGATGCCCTTTACGCAATCTCCTAGAGAAAAACGTGCAAGAGTCCGGCTGACTTCAGTTCCAACTGAGCATATCACCTGCAGTATCTGTGAAGATAACTGCAGATGCGTTGGACTTAGGTTGCAGCTTTATAATTTTCCGTTTACTTTTTCCTCCACACTTGTCAGTCCATAGTTGCGTGTGCGGTTCGCCTTTCCCTCGTCTTGTGGGCTGTTCGTTTTTTGCTTCACTGTTTGCGTGTACGAATTTCTGTGGTGATTGTTCGTATATCGTCTTCTCTCTGTTCGCCTCTTTAATTCTCTTCATTCCTTTCCTAGTGTACGCCTCCTGAGTAAGACGTAAGACTGTCTGTATTTCTCTCCGGTGCATCCAATTTTGCGAATGATTGGTGTATTTTTGTGCTGTGAGTGTGCGATGTCGTGCAGATTTCCGGCTGGCCTCAGTTCCGCAGCGGGTTTAGTTGCGTCGTGAGCGCCGCCCGCGGTGGCGTGAGGGAATCGTACAAAGGCATCGGCCCCGCCTTAGCTTTAGTGCCGCATGCAGCAATTCAAATTGCAGTGTATGAGCGGCTCAAGCGGAATCAGTAGGCAAACGAATGCACACGTAGAAATGCAATGATCTCGCCACTTCATGGGCGTGCACGGGTGAATACAGCGAAGACATCTACCACAATAGAGCAATTAAAAGTGAAACAATGAAAGGTTCTGTTGAGGGAACGCAGCGTTACAGGCACACTGTGTACGTTGTTTCTGTTGTGAGATGAATTTGTTGTATTCTCTCGTGTGGGCCATTAATGGGTTGCTGCTTGATGCATTGCTGCAGTAACAACTCGCAAAAATCTTCTTTCTCCGCGGGGTTGCCTGCTATTTGGGGCGCAATTTCCAAGTTCGCTGCGCTCAGCCTCACGTATCCCCTCCAGGCAAGTGCAAATCCGAGCAGTTGCACGGTTATGCGCTTCTTTGTAAGCACAAAGGACATACAGGGAGCGTGGGTGTTTATAACGTGAATTATATATAATTCACTTCGTTAAGTGGAGGGGCAAAAGCCGTACATCGTCCTGCGACTCCATGCGCCCTCCGTTCAGGTTCTAAGGAGTCGCCAACAGGTTCACAATACTCCTTACGTCAATTTAAACTTCTTACAGATTGGCATCGTGAGCTCATACGCGTTCAGGACCCGCAAAATCTAGTGGCTCATGAGATGCTGTTATGGCTGCTGTTCTGCATATTGGGGGTTGAGGGAGATGAGGGGAGAATGAATTCTAGTCAAGAGCTGGAGCCGCCGCCTTTGCGGCACCAGGGTAGTCACAGCAGTGGATGCTAAGATTAGCTGAGGTGCTGCTGCACCGGCACATTATATATATATATATATATGCATTTGCCTCTCTGTGCATAGAACTGGTTGCGGCCTTTCTTTGCATGCTTGATGCTCTTTGCGTCTTCAGCGGATGGTGCGGGAAGAAGGGGTTTTGTCTCTCTTTGGAGGTTACTGGGTGCACACGCAGCGCGCGTGTTTGCAGAGCGCCCTCATGTTTTTTTTATATGAGGGTATTTTGGTTCGAATTAAATGAAGAGGCGAAGGCGCCAAGGCGTAATATTGTCTCCAGCAGACGCTGGCTCTTTCTTTTTGTCTTTGTTTGTTTTTGTTTGTCTTTTGTTATTTCTTTGTTGCTCTTTTGTTCTGCATCACTCGTTCCCGACAGCATTTATTTGTACATCACCGCTGTCTTTAGCAGACAATGCAACTTCCGCGAGCAAATGCAGCATAATTTTGCTCCTTTCGGCGAAGCGACAAACTGAAGCATCTACAGAACACCTTGGGGGCATTTGCATTACTATCTTTATCTGCTGTAGTGTACTGAGACATTATTAGAAGTGCGGCAGATCTTACATGCCTTTCTCTGCTCTCTGCAGTTCCTCTCCAGCTGCATGCAAGCTCCACTTATAGCCCCAGCCATCCCCCCAAACACATCACCAGCCCTGCTCAACCGTATCCGCGTTACTCCATGCGAGGTGCCTGTACACTGCACCTGCTACGATGCTCTTCTGCCTCTTCTTATTTCACGGTGCAGCTCAATAATTGCCGCCTTTCAGAAAAAGTCCCTGCCATACATATATAATATATATAAAGAAGAACTGCATTCATATATATATATGTAGGACATCTGCAGCTCTATCTATATATTTGTATATATATATATGCATTATAGATACATAAATTATATCTTTCCTTGCTCGGAGGGTTGTGAGTGCATGCAAAGCTCCTACTTTGTGGTTGAGTATTTTTTTATTAAGTTATATCTGTGGGATTGTGTGTAGTCGATAGAAGGAGACTTCCTGCAAACACAGCAGCAGACGCCCCCACGGATGATGCAACGGGAAGCCGCAGTACTCAGCTCAGTCTGCTGTTGCTGCTGCTGCTGCTGTTGTTGCTGCTGCTGCTTCCCACCTGTATGCATCCTCGTACAACACAGCTGAAGGGTGACTGACGTGCTGCAGCATCCTCCTCCAGTTGCTGCTGCTGCTGTTGTTGCTGCGGCTGCTGGCTGCTGCAGACGCTGCTACTGCAGGCACTGCTGGTGCTTATAATGAGAACCTTTCTGCTGTTGCTGTTTCGCTGTTGCTGGTGACAATGCTGCTGCTGCTGCACCGCTAAGGGCAACAGAAGCAGCAGCAAGTGCTGCTGCTGCAGCGGCAGCAGTTGCGCGCCACCCTCTCAACCCCCTCCCCCTCTCTCCCCACAGTCGCATACTAATATAATTAGTAATATAGTAATAGTAATATTATTCTATGGTAATAGCAATAATGTTTTAATACTAAAGTAATAATAATAGAATAATATTATTATATAATAGTATGCACTTCGCTCAAGAACAAACAGCTGGCCAAACAAACACCACAAATATCAACGCCACTAAATGGCAGCCTCCAATGCAAATAGCGCCAATCGAAAACTACAGACAAATGCATGCAGTAGAATGCATGCATGCACAGATTCTTGCATGCATGCATTTCTTCTGTTGCATGCATGCATGCATGTATTTCCTTCCCTTGCATGCAGCCGATAAAACTCGCTTCTTGTCCCTGTCATCGTTGTGGTTGTCCGCCACTGCTGCTGCTATGCTGCTACTGATGCTGCTGCTGCTGTTGCGTCTGCTAATGCTGCCGTTACTGTGCTGTTGCTGCTGCTGCTAATATTGCTGTTGCTCCTGCCGCTGCTAATGCTACTGTTGTTGCTGCTAATGCTGTTATTGCTGCTACATATGTTCTTGCAGGTAATGCTGCTGCTGCTGCAGCAAGTGTAGGACTTCAAATGGTTTTCATTGTTTTAGGGGTCCCACAGAAGAAGAAGAGGCGATGCCTTTCTTTCTGTCTTTGACTCAACACTAATTCACTTAAATAAATATAATATTTGCTATGTGCATTGTCATTATCTATATACAATGTAAACAATATGGAGATAATATATAGATAATACGTAATATTGACAGTACATACTATAGATAGATGGTATATACATATACATATATATATATATACATATACATATATATGTATATACCAATATATAGATATACACATATATACGTATGTATACGCAAATGCATATACCTTCATATATATATATAATCATACACATATATAGGTGTCTATACATATATACCTAAACATATGCGTAATCCTATATATAAATGTATATATATGTATATATATTACATATATATTCATATACGCACCTATATATATATATATATATATATATATATCAATTGGTTGATATTGTTTTTGTTCTATTAAATTGAGGAACTGCGGAAGACGGCGTCTCTGATGACCGGGCGAATGTCCTCCACCTGCCACACCATTTACAGCGTTCAACAACTATAGCCAAAGAGTTTAGGGTTTAGGGTTTAGGGTCTAGGGCTTCGGTTTAGGGATGTCCGAATGAAGGGCTTGATTGAGCGCTGGCTGGGCAATTTGCAGTCAACTTCAAACATTAGGGTTTAGGGTTTAGGGTTTAGGGTTTAGGGTTACCTTGGCTAGCGACCGCAGTATTGGTATTAAATAGAGAAGCTCCCGGTCGTGTGGGTCATCGAACCTGCGCACAAAAATAAAAAAATATGAAGTCCTTCAGGTGTACGTACAGCTGGCGACTACCCCAATTATTATAGCCCCTAACGGAGACAGAGAAATAAATAAATAAATAAATGAGAGACAAACAACAGCTGAGGCTGCCCTTTGCACTTTGGTAAAGAATAATCAAGGTTATAGCAGCAGCAATCACAGCAGCAGCAGCAGCAGCAGCAGCAGCAGCAGCAGCAGCAGCGGCAGGGGAAGCAGAAGCAGCAGCACTTATGGCAACACCAGCAGCAGCAGCAGCAGCTGGAGCAGCCACTGCAACAGCAATTGCAGCCACACCTACAGCAGCGGCAGCAGCAGCATAAATGACAACAACACCAGCAGCACTCATAGAAACAGCAACAGCAGCAGCAGTACTCACAGCAGCATCAGCAGTCACAGCATCAACCAGAGGAGCAGCAGCGCCAGTAATATCAGCAGCATCAGCCGTATGAGCAGCAGCAGCAGCAGCAGCAGCAACAGCAGCAGCAGCAGCAACAACAACAACAGCATCGGCATCAGCAACAGCACCAACAGCATCGACAGCAGCATCAGCAGCAGCAACAGCAGCAGCAACAGCAACAGCGCAGCAACAGCATCAGCAGCCGCCGCAACAGCATCAGCAGCAGTAGCAGCAACATGTGCTGCTGCTGCTGAGTATTAATACCAGCTTTTGATGGGTATAGCATTCTCTGTATGCCACTTATATGCCTTATTGGAGTTATCTACAATAACGACATTCTTCAGATCGCGGCCTAAGAGAGATAAATCTTTTACATAACTCCCTTTGCTGAGCATACACCGCAACAAAGACAAGAAAGAGCATGCAAGCAAAACCGATGAAAAATAAATAAACCAAATAATAATAAATTTAAAAAAGACTACAAGTAATGGGCACCTCAACTGCGGTGAAAAGACAAACATGCATTCAGGTGTATGTACAAAAACCCAAAGCGGGGTGTAAAGACAAACAAACACTGAGGTGTGAGGAAACATACAGATACAGATATTGAGGTGTATCGACAGATACAGAGGCATATAGACAGTTATTGGGGTCTATAGACAGATATTGGGGTCTATAGACAGAGATTGTGGTCTATAGACAGAGATTGTGGTGTATAGACAGACACTGGGGTGTATAGACAGACACTGGGGTGTATAGACAGATACTGGGGTCTATAGACAGATACTGGGGTGTATAGACAGATATTGGGGTGTATAGACAGATACTGGGGTGTTAGACAGATAGTGAGGCGTATACTGTCTCCGCTACTTTCTTTATTTATCTCTTTTGTCTACCTCTCCCTTAGGCGTGTCTGCTACTTTATTTATTTTTATTACTTTTGTTTGTTTGTTTAATACTCACCTATACGTGCAGTATTGTCTAAACAAACGAAATGAACAGAGACGGTGCGGGTCAATTTTATCAACCACTAAGTCGGCGTACTGCAACAAAACAAATAAATAAATAAATAAATAAATAAATAAATAGAGAAATGAAGAAATAAATAAAGAAATGAGCAAACAAATAAACAAACAAGTAAACAAATAAATAAATAAATAAAACAAAAATAAAATGCATGAATAAACAGAACAGAAGAA